TGACTCGACGGCACATAACAACAACAACAACAATACTAGAGTCACTATATAAAGGATAAGTTTCATGATTTTTTTTTTGGTGATGTAAACCAGGTTATTAGAAAATGGCTATATTTGATAGCTTCAGTGAAAACAAAACTTGTGGGGAAATAATGTGTCATCAAATAGTACTGGCTGTCCCCAATAACCAGATGCTCCTACTTCCTTTGCGTTTGGAAGAATCATGTGAGTAAGTTCTGACCAGTGGGATGTCACTGGAAGCACTGTCTGTGTATTTTCAGGTCATGCCTTAGGAAATGGGTGTGGCCTTCATTTCCTGGGTTCCCCTTCCTGCTAACTGAAATACTAAGAAGATGGCAGGAACTGGAAGAACCATCTGAGACCATAAGGCAAAAGTTACATTTTGAGGACATCAGAATAAATGGGTAGAGTGTGTGGGGGCTCAACACTGTCAAGCCACCAGGTCTGATTTGGACTGCTTCTATATGGTTTAACCCACTATATTTATGGGTCTCTTTTACATTATTTAAAATAGTATCCTAATACAACTGTTTAAACAAAGCCCTGTTTTTTCACATTTCCCAGAATGTGGCCTGTAGTTTGGAAAACAATTACCTTGCCCTATCAACTGAACCTTGTTTGTATTTCAAAATGCAAACAGTGGCACTTCCAATCATCCTTGGGCACCTAGAACTAAAATGACAAGCTTCTTAGATCTTGCTTGAGGAAGGTGCTGATTTCCACTATAAAAAGAAACCCAGGTTTTCTGAGGAAATTTTCTTATGTGTTTAGGACTTTTGCTAATTTTTCTCTCCCTGGAAAATTCCCAATTTTCATCAAATGTCACTTCATTAAGAGGAACTCTTTAAAAATAACTTTAGATGAGAATGATGTCTTTTGCAGACTTGTTAAGCTGCCTTGTGATTACTTTCTTAGAGCTTGGTGTCCTTTTTGTCCTTTGGGCTGTAGTTTTTAGAAAATCCCCTCCCTTCCTATACACCCCAAGTCCCTGTGATTTTTCCTGGCTTTGTGCAACTCCTATCAAACTAAGAAGCCCTGGTAGTGCAGTGGTTAAGTGCTCTACTGCTAACTGAAAAGCCAGCAGTTTGAACCCACAAGCTACTCTGCAGAAGGAATATGTGTCAGTCAATGTGTTGGTCTGCTTTCATACAGTTGTATTGGCTTTGGAAACTCTATGCGGCAGTTCTACTCTGTCCTATAAGGTTACCATGAGTCAAAATTGACTTGACAGCACACAACAACAGCAACCTTCTAGTTTGAGCTACCTGGTCTCCTCTTGAATGACAGACCCAGGAAAACTGTTATTTTTTACCTTTCTAGCTCGAGTAGACAAAGCCAATTACTATAATGAAATGTGCAAAGACCTGGAGTCTGAAAACCAAAAAGGAAGAACACGCTC